TTCTGCTAGTTGGGGTTTAGTCCAAATCTGCATCCTTTCCTTCAAGGCTCAGGGGTCCAAGATTATCTTCTGTGTCTGTATTTATTGGTTTCCCTTTTCTTTGTTGAAGAGGGTCTGTGCAATCCTTCTGCCTAGTCCGCCATCTTGCCCCACCTCTCGAGTTTCCATTTATTATCATAGAAAAATTGCATTGATTAAAGGTAGGATTGCACAGCTGATTAATGTTATTGCTGTTAATAAAAGAGGGGGAGGCCTTCAGTGAGATGGATTGACACAGTGTCTGCGATGATGGACTCAAGTATAGCAGGGATTGTGGGGCTGGCGCGGGATCGGGCAGTGTTTCGTTCTGCTGTGCATGGGGTCACTATGAGTCAGAAACAACTCGACGGCACTTAATAACAACAACAACAACATACTTGTAAAAAGTTGAATTGGCAAAAATTGTGTTAGAGCTTTATAACAATAACAAAAAAGAGTAGCTGCCAAGGCTGTTGACACTTCATGAAATTTGATTTCTTGATTTGGATGTTTAAGGTCATGGTTTAATGGGATATCCTAGTTAATTGGCCTAATTACTTGTTTAGTGTTTCTGTTCAATCTCCTATTTATTATATAGTGCCTGGGGGGGTCTTAAAAGCTTGCAAGCAGCCATCAGTGATACAATCATTGGTCTCAATTCACCTGGATTAATAGAGGAAGAATGAGCATCAGTAACAGTAGGAAAAAATGGAATAAAAGTCTAATTATGTCCATAAACAGCTGCCTCCTTTGCCATGAGACCAGAACTGGACAGTGTCTGGCTAACATTACTGAACATTTTTAATCAAACATTTTATAGAAGAATCCTGATCAAAAGGGGGATGAAGAACAAAATTTAAAATTCTTATGGAAATAGACTTTTTGGAACCATGGAATCCAGATGAACTCCTGAAACTGTTGTCCTGAGATAATATTTAAACCTTAAACCAAAAATATCTCCTAAAGTTTCTTAAAATGAAAAGGTAGTTTAGCTTAACTAGTGGAAAAAAAGTCTTTCTTGAGCATGTTGCACTCTTTTGAGAACTATCTATATAGGCTCAAAGTGACAACAGCAACTTGAAAGATTACATAGGAAATTTAGAGAGCAGTAGATTTATGGTAATGGAAGAGGAACAACTCAGAAAATGAAGGTAAGAATGGTTGCACTACTTGAGAAATGTAATCAATGCCACTAAATTCTACATGTAGAAATTGTTGTATTAATGTTTGTTATGCTGTGGAAATTCTCAACAACAGCAAAAAGAAAATATAATTATGTAAGTAAATAATTAAGAGATTACTTCTCAGCTCATTTGTCTTCCTGTTACCTCTATACATCTGGAATTTAGCTTTTGGTCATATTTGCTTCTGTTTGCTATGCCTCAGTAACAGATACTTGTATTGGTTTTTTCCTTCAGCCCTGCCAGTTTGAGCAATGCATTGTACACTCCCTGCAGGCCTTGAAAGGAGTCCTGGAGTGCAAGCCCGGGGAAGCCAGCGTGAGTATTCGCTTCAGTATTGAAAAGAGTATTCTTTTCAACACCTATTTGAAAATATCTCAAGGAAGTCTTTGGAATCAGTCATAAATTTTCAGTCATCTCAGCACACAAGCTTTTTCTTCTTTATTGCTTGCTTTTTAAATTTAGTTAAACAACACAGGCTTGTTGATGTGTGGTTCCAAGATATCTACCTCCAAGGAGTAGATTCCTACTCTTAATGACCCCATTGAGTTTCCAAGGCTGTAAATCTTTCCACAGTAGATGCCTCATCTTCCTCCTGCAGAGCAGCTGGTTGGTTTGAACCACCAGCCTTCTGATTAGCAGCCAGATGCCTTACCTACCAGAGCACCTAGGTTCTAAGATAGACTGATAAAAACTAAAATGTAAGTGTTCTAGGTAGAGTACTTGCAGTGTTAATACCTTTTATACAAAAGAAATGATTAAAGATACTGTTAATCACCTTAGGAAGTCAATGTCTTCGCAAGCCAACATGACTACTGGTGGCAAACTGCCTGCAGGCCTGAATTCTTGTCTACCTTCAGACTAAGGTCTCCTATAATGAACCCATTCTCCATGTTTTAACTTTTTTATTTCTAAACAAAAAGTTTTGTTTTCTCTTCAAAGTCTAAACATTTAATTAATATTCTTCCTTATAGGTCTTTCAACAGCCTAAAACACAGGAAGAGGTTTGCCAACTAAGCATCAATATCATGCAGGTAATATTAAAAAGCAGTGATGCGCAGTAACCATGAAATAATGCAAATTATTAGTCAATCCCTTCTTATTATACACAGACACACATATATGCCTCATATGTATAATATATGTTAAATAATATATTTTATTTCTTAATTTTGTCTGAGTACATGATAGTTTATGTAAGTATCTTACTTACCCAGTGCTGCTTTAACACATGTACCACATGGTGGTGGCTTTAAAGAATGTCTTCTTCACAGTTGTGGAAGCTAATTCCAAATCAGAGTTCCTTGACTTGTCATCTGTCTTCCCATTTATGCCTGCTTCTATGTCTAATCTCCTCTTTTTATAACTCAGAAGTGATTAGGTTTAGGATATACCCTACATTGATAAAACCTTATCCTTTCAACAAAGAAACCTATATCTGATTAGGATGGTATCCACGGGTATAGGGGTTAGGATTCCAACACATATTTTGGGAAGACATACCTCAATTTGTAAGAATAGGGTACCAAAATAAAGTTTAATGTGGGATTGGTTTCAGCTTGTTTTAGCAATACCCTAATAGTTATATTATGTCTTCTTTTTTTTGTATTTCATGGTACTTTATATATAATTATTAGATCAAAAAGTAAATTTCATTGTTGTTTGTTCTTTTATGCTTTGTCTACAGTGTAATAGTGTTCAGACTGGGACCAGTGCTTTGTAGGTTCATAAACAGTTGAGCAAGTGAGTGCATGAATGAGAGAAAGAAAAAAGCTTTTTCCTAAAACATGTTCAAGAATATAACAGTTGAATTAAAAAAAAACTGGTGCTTTTAATTTTTATCATTTATGGGACCAAAAACATATATTTTTATTTTAATTTATATAAAACTATTTTTAATGTCCAAATAGATAAATATCTGAGAGTTCATATCACTGAAACTTACTTTTGTTACAGATTTTTATACACTGTCTGGAACAGCTGAGCACTAAGCCTGATGCAGATGTAGATACCACACAGTAAGTAAAAGTGAAATTAATCTCATTGGTGCATTTTGGAGAATTAGAAATACAGATGCAAATTATATATTAAGTCTTAATTCTCGGTTCAGATATTAAAGTCATATTAAATATTAAAAATAAATTAATTTAAATTTAAATTATTAAAAAAAAATTTTAATATATTTGAAGGAACTCTGTTGGTGTGGTGGCTAAGGCATTCAGCTGCTAATCAGGTTGGTGGTTTGAATTCACTAGCCGCTCCATTGGAGAAAAATGAGGCAGTCTGCTTCTGTAACGATTTACAGCCATGGAAACTCTATGGGGCAGTTCTACTCTGTCCTGTAGGGTCTCTATGAGTCAGAATTACCTTGATGGCACTGAGTTTGGTTTTGAATTTGGTATATTATTTCCATAATTTCTTTATTTTCTAAATTCATCTTTGCCTCAGTATAGAGGTTGAACAAAATTGAACATTTGATTAACTTATTAATTTGAAAGGAAGAAGTTTCATAAATAATTAAATAAAAATTTAAA